AGTTTTTTTTTTTTTTTAGTATATAATTATAATATGCATACAATTAATTATAAAATCATCTAATAATTTTAATTAGTAGTTATAAGTCAAGAAATATGAAATTTAAAATATTAGATTTCAATGAAGGGACCTGGCCTCTTGACTCTATTTGGTTGCCCTTAAGAGTTTCTTTTGGTGGAACAAAACACATTAGATTGTTGATGTAAATAAAAGGAAAAAAAAATTTTCCTTCAGTGAGAAATAATAAACCATTATCATTGATTTAATTTTAGTTCAGATAAATAAACAAAAGTGTATGTATTTTTATGTTTCTTTGGTATAAGATAAATTAATTAATATTAATAAATAAACCTTGATTTTTTAGAGTCATAAAGGACATAAGTCTGATGTCCCATTCCTTACAAGAAAACATTATAATAACAATGGTAAAATGGTCTCATTTGAACTTTTTATTGGAGAAATCATTGGACATCCATGGTAATGATATATGACGAAATTTTTGACTCTAATCATTGGTGTGACGAAAGTATTGACTAAAGGTAGTTTCTCATCAAAGGCCATTTTGACAATTTGACGAAAGTAAAAGTGTTGATGAAACTAAGAAGTGTTGACAAAAGTAAAATTGAAGTTTTTTTTTGTTTTATAATAAAATATATACATGGAATAAATATTTTAAGATTACAATAGATTGAATTGAATATATAAAAGCAACTGTAATGATAATATAATAATAATAAAATATTATTATAACAACCATAAACCAAATTACAATACTGTCTAGCAATTTCCACCACCTTTTTTTTACATCCAGTAATAAGTTTGAGAGATAATATTGCTTAAGGCAAGAAGAATTTGTTTTAAAAAAATGTCACGTCCACAAAATAAATTTTTTGGTGGACTCGAGATTTGGTTGTCCAAATGGTTCTTTTCCTTCAGAAATACACGACAAAGACAGGATTGATTGCGGGTTTTGTCGAATTGAACAATGCTAAACTCCCGGTCTTACTTGGAAACCTGATTTGGAAGCTTTGATGTTTAAGACCTTTCCCCAACGAAAGGGGGATTACGAGTACATTAAAATACAACCTTCAATAGATAGCTATGTAAATTACACAAAAATAAGGATGCTGTGCCCTGACTTGACTCGATCATTAGAAGCTCTTACTGCAGCCACGACATCCTGAGCGAGCAAAAAACCACAACCTTGCTTTCGAATTTGGGGGACTGCGTCTCTCTTTTTCAAGATAAATAGGCGCATACAGCTTTCCTCAGATTTTCTACACCTTGACGATGGCCAATGACAAATAGACCCACTTGCACTAACTTTTGAGTTCCACTGATAGTGATGACACCGTGCCAAGAAATCGCCCATTGCACTACTGAAATAGGCTGACAAATGTCCACAAGGACCCTGGGATGGTGAATTGGAGCAAGTGGGAACATTTCTTTGAAAGTGACGAATTTCGAAAACGCAGAACGATTTACATGCATGGTTTTGCCTATACAGAAAAAAGGACATCTCACTTGACGCGACTCGTGAATACGTTCTTGACCCGACACGGAAAAAACATTGTAACCATCAAATGTGTGGAAAACCAAATCCAAATGGAGAACCTTCATATGGACGAATCTAAACCATGCAATAGTGACGCAGCTGGATTACTAAGTCTTCATGGATGAATATGAACGATTATTCATTAATTCTAGGAATTTTCGGAATTGTAAAAACTTACCTGTATGATGAGTTATAACAGTTTGTGTAAAAGTGATTTTTCTTTAATTGTTAAATGGGGATTTCTAGGAACATATGGGGTGTGGACAATAGAAACGGACCATGTTGTGAAAAAAGCAATTTTGAGTTAGTATCACTATTATATGTAATTCCTCATGTAGAACATTTTTGGCTTAGAAACCATACCCACTTTGCTTAACAAAACTTTGAGATACCCTCCATTAAAGTTTTAAAAACAATAGTAAATTACTTGAAATGCAGATCTTTTTTAAAATTTTCTCAAAACATCATTTTCACAACATGGTCCGTTTCTATTGTCCAGACCCCATATATTGTCTGAATTGAGTTTTTGCATCCTTCTTAATCTATCCATGGATCAACTTCTATTACTTGGAAAATAACAGAGAAAGCAGTGATGTAGTTTAAGGGGAGGTTATAAGAAAATTATATACCATTTTGAATGCATGTTTATGTGGATTAAATGTAAAAAAGCTTTGATGTTAAAAATTGCAAAATTAAATTACGATAAAAAGCAATTAAGATTCGTAACTCGAAATACTGCCTGTTTTAAGCATTTCTCTTCAATATCTTCCTCGAATGAGTAATGCAGAGAGGTAAAGAAAAAGAATGCAGTATTTACGCATGCATTGTTTATGGTCAGCTGTCATGTTATTAATGTGGAGGGAGGGTCGTTAACAAACGCCGATCATTTCACAATCATGGGAAAAAAAGATTTTAGACAAAATAAATCCGGAAGAAAAAAATTTAATGAAAAAACCGCAAAAGGAAAAAGAGGTGGTATAAATGATGACGATACAAGATATCAAGGATATATTAATAATAGTGAAATGAGGTTTGTTTGTTGATTATATCAAAAAATAAAAGTTTTCAATACATATATTGAACAAATTAATTTTAATTAGTAATGAAGACATTTTGAAATTTGAAGGTATTTTAGATTATTATTACATTGTAGTAAAAAAACTTTTACTCAATATACATGCTTTTTTTTAAATATATTAAGAGGTTGATAATAACATTCCCATAAAACTTGGAATGTGGGTAAGCGTTATTTTCATCATCACCATAACTATAATAAAAGTTGTAAATTAAGCAACTCAAATTAAATAAAAAGTAGGATTTTGATCATTGTGATCCAAAGAGATGCTCTGGCAAAAAACTTGCTAGATTAGGAATGATAAAAAATTTCAGAATCAAATAAAAAATGGTTCGAAATACTGTATGCCTAAATTTGTGCAAGGAGTTGACGCGTCCTAACCAAATTTAGATCACAAATCTCAATATATGGGAGGTCTTCCTTTCGGGCTTGGAGGGTTTCTTTGTTGGCTAGTTTCAGGTCATAATCTAATTGCCCTTTTCTTTTACCGGTCTTTCTTATTCTTTCGGCTATTTCTTGGACCGAGCCAATTAAAGAATAAGTGGTGTAGTTTTCGGGGTGGGGTTCGTAATTAATTCGTCCTTTTGATTCTTTCAGTTGACCCCATTGAACCTACTAATACATTTAATTCTTCCTTTTTTTCCTTCTCTTCTAATACATTATCATTCAGCATTTCCCGTAAGGACTCTGGTCACAAGGTCTGATCAACAATAAAGGTTCGCTATAAGGATTTGAAATCCGTGTATTCCTTTTTTGGAATTTTTGTATATATAATAAATGTGATTTTGAAATTTTGTACAATGAATATTTTTACAAAATATACGCTAAAAAAGTCTCAATCTGTACAATACAACTTTTATAAAGTAGATGCATTTTGCTTTCAACTTCACAGTTAATTTTTTTAAAAAAAGATTTCTATTTGTAATAGCTTTTATCAATTATTTTCAAACTTTATTAATACTTTTGCCAGGAAAATATTTATAAATTATTTCAGTAAATATTTTTTATGCTTTAAATTTAAACAGTTTTTTAATAAAGGTCATTATGCAAACTATAATGTTGACTAATTCAATAAAATATCTGTTTTCATTTGAACGCCATCCATAAAATCTGATTTTACAATTTCTAAAATTACAAATATTAATTGGCTAAAATCGTACAGATCTTTCATTGGAAAAATGATTTTTGATTTTTTTATACGAAGAAAAACTTGGCGAGAGCTTTATTAAATGGTCATACAACTTCCAAAGCTATGGGTCATGCATATTTTAACTGCTTTATAAGCCTACCAAAAAATAGTCAATAGTTTCAAATTATAATCACAAAGTTACCAGGAAAAATGGGCTCCCGGATTTAACATTCAAAATCTATCATGTCTTTAAAGTTGGTGTCTACAACTGATTTGAAATTCTGAACCCAGTTGCAACCCATGTTGAAACATCCTAAATTGCAACTTCTTAGTTGCAGATACCAACTTTACACGCCTCAATAATTCTTGGTTTAAATATCACTTTTGACCCGTGATGGATAGTTTATTAACTTATTAAATTAATATCATAAATTTCCCTT